TCCCGACGACTCACTCGGAGGCTGAGGTAAGTTAAGGGCTTCCGCCAAAGGTTAATTACAAATCTTATTAACAATACACACAGGGGGTGAACAACTTCCCAGGGGTTAGGGGTCCCGGGCTAGGTCCCGACACAGCCGGCTGCCCTGTGATGTCTCCTCTGCGCTGGCCGTGGGATCAGCCAACACGGTCGACCGAGGAGCACAGCCACATCTCGCCTGGCACTGTGCTCTCCCCTATCCCTACCCTCTTGCCCCTGGCTCCCCGTTCCACCCTTTTCCGACCTTACTCTCAAGCTTCGACCCCGATGACGTCATGGGGTCCCCCCTTTATACTTGAGGAGCCGTGACATCATTCTGCTGACCCGAGCGCATGACGTTACGTCATCACACTGGACAGCACACGTAACGCCACTTCCCCATTCTACTCCTCTACATTACCCCCCCCCCCCCCCCGCTGTGAAAAAAAAACAGCCGATCCGGCTGCAACCACTATGCCAGCGGGGCCCAACCCCTCCATCGAAGGCCGAACAACTAAACGTGCACGTGCCCGAAAGTAAAACCGGCTGCTTGAAGAACCCCAACCTTAAGGCAGCACGGCACCCCAGGCACCACAGTAACAACAACAACAACAACAAAAAGAACGAGAAAAAAATATAGTAATAAAGAAAGTAAAGCCAGACGGCTTCTTCCGGCCAGCAGTACCGAGCGGGCGCCGGGGGCTGGGGCCCTATGAACGGCCACCAAGGCCATCACCGGAGCCGCAACCCCCTCGAGCAGGTATGCGCTGCCGGCCCGCTTCCCCGTGTGGCGTCCGACGCCAGTGCAGTTGGACTGTCAGCAGGCAACAGGCCCATCGCCGTAGCCTCCGGTGCCCGAGGGGTCTTCGCCGGCACTACTTGGAAGGCCCCTGGGGGCACACAAACAGGGCGAATGCCGCCCCCGTCAACAGGACAGGCACGACGGACGCATCACCCGCTGGCCGCTCCGGAGTTAGGGGTGGATCCCCCAGGGTAGATGGAACATAACGTTTGAGCCAGGACGGGTGCATTATCCACCGGCGGCGTCCGAACTGAATCCGGACGCACTGCGGCTGGCGGACTTCCACGACCTCAACGGGGCCCTGCCAAGGGCGGTGCAATTTGGCAGATGTGCCAACCGGGACCTGGGGACAATGCAGCCACGCTTTCTGGCCCGCTACCCACGGGAGGCCCGCTGCTTGGTGTTCGGGCAGCCGCTCATTAGCCTCCTGCCGGCTGGCGGAATTCTCGGCAGCGGCCTGCCATGCCTCGCGCAGCCGGTCAAGCGCGACCTTCAAAGGGACCGGCACCGCCGACCCCTTCCTGGAGAACCCCACGTCCAGTTGGATGTGCACCGGGGGCTCCGGCTCCCTACTGTACAAATAAATAAAAAGGCGAAAAAGGCGAAAATCCCGTTGAGGCGTGAGGAGCCAACCGATATGCCGCCAAGACCCCCGGGCCGAACAGGTCCCAGTCCGACTGAGATGTGTTCACATGGTGGCACAGCATGGACGTGAGGGTGCGGTTCAAGTGCTCTACCATCCCGTCCGATTGGGGGTGGTAGGGCGAGGTGCGGATTTTCTTGGTGCCAAGGAGGTCACACACCTCCTTGAGCAGCTTAGACGAGAAATTCCGCCCTTGATCCGCCAACAATTGTTCCGGCGTGCCCTTGTCCAACACGTTCTCCTGGACAAACGCCTCGGTGATAGAAGAGGCCGACTGATCGACCAAAGGCCACGCCACAGGCCAACGTGTGAGGTACTCAACGCCCACCAAGAGGTATTTATGGCCCCGTTGGGATGCAGGGAATGGGCCCAAAATGTCGAGCGCCACGAGTTCATTAACGCGAGAAACCCAGATGGACTGCAGCGGGGCCCGGTCCTGGACAACTGGGGCCTTCCTCCGTGCGCAGTCGTGGCAACCATTCAAAATCAGTACCACGTCACCCTCCACATCCGGCCAGTAATAGTCCCACTTAAGGGTCAATAGGGTCTTGTGGTAGCCAAGGTGCATAAGCTTCTCGTGAATGGCTCAGGTTAATTTACCACGCAGGCTAGTGGGCACAACCACACAATAGCGTTCCAATTGGGCATTCCAACGCATGAGGAGTCTGTCATGCACGGCGATCGAGGGGGCCTCCGACGAAGCTGAGCTCCGGGCCTTACGTCTGACGTGGCGTCGTAGCTTCAGCAGAGAGGAATCCTCCATCTGCAAGCTGGACCATACCTCCTGGGGGAGTCCCAGGCCGAAATCCGCGGGCGTCGCCGCACCTGGAGGGGTGGCCGTCTCGGCCAACGTGACCAACTGGGCCGTGACGTCCCCTGGGGCCTTGCAACGGCTAGAGCCCAGGTCACAAGCACACCCGCAGCCTGCCGGCAATATGGACAAGCCGTCCGCATTTCCATGCTGTGCCCCCTTTCTGTGGATTACGTCAAAGGGGTAATCCTGGAGCACCTCGAGCCAGCGGGACAGCTGACCCGAGGGCTGACTAATCCTCAGCGAATATTGCAGGGCCGCGTGGTCGGTTCGGACCGTAAACCGCCTACTATACAAGTAGGGCCTATACAATTGAACAAAAAAAACTATGGCCAAAAGCTCCCTCTGGGTCACACAGTATCGCTGTTCCATCGGGGACAGAACATGACTGCCATAGGCTACCACTCTCTCCACCCCGTCGACCACCTGGGCCAGGACTGCCCCAATGCCCGTGTCGCTGGCATTGGTGTCGAGCAGAAAGGGTTTCGAGAAATCGGGGTACCCCAAGGGCGGCGCATCCACCAAGGCCGTGCGAAGCGTCGCAAAAGCAGCCTCCTCCTCCACGCCCCAGTGAAACCTTTGGCCTTTGGCGGAAAGGGCGTGCAGTGGCTTCGCAATTGTCACAAAATTGCGCACTAACCAACGATAGTATGATGCGAAGCCGACTCCCACACAGATGTGTGAGTCGGACACGTCCGGACACAAGCCATTTTCTCTGGGTCTGTGGCGACACCTGATGCACTAACAATGTGTTCCAAATACTTCACCAATGGTTGTAGCAAATGGCATTTCTGGGGTTTAAATTTCAAGCCCGCAGCACGTACTTTGACGAACACAGCCTCAAGGCGTTGCAAGTGCTCGTCAAACGTACGCCCAAAAACAATAACGTCGTCCAAGTAGATTAAACAAGACTCCCACTGCAGCCCCGCCAAGACCATCTACATGAGATGCTGGAAGGTGGCTGGGGCCGAATGAAGACCCATAGGAAGCTGATTGAACTCGAACAACCCATGGGCGTGTGGAACGCTGTATTGGTTCTAGAGTCTTTGTTCAGTGGCAATTTCCAGAAGCCAGAGAGCAAATCTAGAGTTGAAAAGAACCGCGCGCCCCCGAGAGGGCGTCCAGGGAATCATCCATGCGAGGCAATGGATATGCATCAGCCACCGAGATCTTGTTAAATTTACTGAAATCGATGCAGAACCGGAGACTCCTGTCCATTTTCTTGACTAGCACAATGGGGGTACCCCAAGGGCTAGTAGAAGGGGAGACGATGTCCGCCGCCAACATTTCATCGACAGCCGAACGGACATGCTCCTTTTCCGCAGGGCTAAATCGGTGGGAATTAAGTCAAATAGGGGCTGAGTCGCCCGTATCTATGTGGTGTTCCAAAAGAGTAGTGCGACCCAGATCAAACTTACTTTTGCTAAACACATCAGTGAACCTCTCGATGAGTTCGCGGAGTTACTGACGCTCCCCGGTGGACAATGAGACATTCTCGTTGCACAACGTGGTGATCCACGATGCATCGGAGTCCCCCACACGCATCACGCCCGCCACAACTCCTCCATCTGGGGCAGCGTTCTCGGGTGGGGGAGCCGGGGTTGCGTGCGCCAGGACGGTGCCGGCCAGGATTACGATCGGCGCGGGCCCCGAATTGAGGACCTGCAAAAAAAGGTCCTGGCCCCCCGACACAGCCGTCAAGGCACCTACCAATCCCTTCGTCCTTGAAAAGTAACTCGACTGGGACAGGATGATACCTGTCTCCATGGAGCCCCCTTCGAGCGGTCTGCACAACCTAAGGGGTAGCAAGATTTGTGACGCCGGCGGCACGGTCACCGCCGCCCTATTCAAGACCCGCACACTGGCAACCAAGGGAAACAGGACGGTAGGCCATTGTAGGAATTGCAGCCGCCTCCCTGACGGCATTTCCACACAGCCCTGGTCAATGAGAATTCGAATGGGAATTCTAGACAAAAAGTCGGTCCCCAAGAGGAATGGAACTCCCAAGGTCTTGAAGACCAAAATAGGCCCGGCCAACTCAATCTCGTCAACCCTAACTGACGCTATAACATGGCCCAATATGCCCAAACTGCTGCCGTTCGCGGCGACACAATCCCCACGAACCGGTCTTAACGGACCGACGCTGCGGGGTAGCAGCTCGAAAACGGCCTCTGAAATAATGGTGGCAAATGCCCACGTATCCACCAAGAGGCGAACTTGCACACCCTGCACGCAATCCGCCAACGCTGAGGAGCCGGCAGCTGCCACCACCATCCGATGCGCCAGCGCGTTCCAGTGGCGGATCTGCCTGGGCCATCCAGTAGGTGACAATGATGGTGCACCCATCCCCAATTCTGACACCAGTTGTTGAGAAGTTCCCGACGACTCACTCGGAGGCTGAGGTAAGTTAAGGGCTTCCACCAAAGGTTTATTACAAATCTTAACAACACACAGGGGTGAACAACTTCCCAGGGGTTAGGGGTCCCGAGCTAGGTCCCGACACAGCCGGCTGCCCTTTGCTATCTCCTAAGCGTGAAGATTTTTTTTTATAAAAAATCAAAAAGAACCTAAAGACAATTTATGGGAGCTTCAAAAAAACGTCTCGCATCATAACATAAATGTAAAGTAAAAGAGGTGCGATTTCTTATCTTTTATCAACTGATTCTTCAATGCATGTCTTTGCACTCCAGCAGAGGTCCTGCCAATGACAAAATTCATTCACAAAAAAGGGGGCGCTTGGTTTTGAACCAAGGACCTCTAAATCTGCAGTCAAATGCTCTACTACTGAGCTACACCCCCACAGAACATTCCACATTTTGACGCAATCTTTATTTTCTATTTTTTTAGGTCATTTTCCCTGCAAACAATTTCTCGACTTCGCCAGTCCACAACCACCATGAACAAGTATTTTACAGAATATAATTGGACCTCAGTCACATTATTCTACGTGATTTTCAGAATGGCATTCATTACATCAACATGTGGGAAAGTGTAATGTATATCAATACAAGTTGCAGAGTCTTGTGTATATAAGTTAAAGTCTTCACTAGACTTAAAAATGCAGATTTTTTTCATCTCAAAGAAAGTAAAGACATTCATTGGTATTTTCTTACAAAAACACTTCTCTAGTGATGAAGGGAATTCAAAGTAAAAATATACGACAAATTATTTAACGTGGAGCGATTTCAAACTGCTATCCTCGTGCATGTCTTTGCACTATATAAATGGTTCTGCCAAAGATACATTTCCTAAAAAAGACAAAGGGGACAGTTGGATTTGAACCAAGGACCTGGATAATCTTCAGTCAATCACTCTCCCTTAGACCAACACCCCCATAGCACACCCCAATTGTGATGCCCACTTGCAGCTCACATTTTGAGCACATTTTCGCAAAATCAAACTCTCGAATTCACCATTGCAAAGTAGAAACTTACGACGTATTCTCATTAGGTGGAACGATTTCTCTTTCGTCAAACTGATATTTTTGTGCATGTCTTTGCACTCCGATGAATGGTTCTTCCAAATAAATATTTCCAAAAAAAGACAAAGGGGTTGGTTGGATTTGCCCGCGACCGATCCAGCTCGAGGTGCCCGGGACTGATCCGGCTCGAGGTTCCCAGGACCTATCCGGCTCGAGGTGCCCGGGACTGATCCGGCTCGAGGTGCCCGGATCGATCCGGCTTGAGGGGCCCAGGACCAATCTGGCTTGAGGGGCCTGGGAACGATCCGGCTCGAGGTGCCCCGGAACGATCCGCTTCGAGTGTTCTGTTTCAGAGCCGGGTGATGCTTCGGGCGTGCATTTAGGGTTTTGTCCAGCAGTTTCCCCCCCCCCCCCCCCCACAGCGTTCGTGGTTGAGGAAGCCGGTGAAGCTGTGGTCGTCGGGTTGTTGTATGACGGTGTTAATTGTTGTGTTGTTGCGAGGGTCACTTGGGTTGGTATAGTGGCTTGTGATACATGCACTCCTCCGGGGAGGAAGTAAGCCTGTTGCCATCTGACAATGTAAGATTTGTGTAGAGTAAACCCGATACATTTGGACGATACCTGCAGTGGATTTGGTTATGTTCCGCACATTGTCATTTGGTGCGTCGCGTTAAATAGGGGCCCCAACAAACATTTAATAACAGTGATGCTAGCTAGGGTTGCGAGTATAAACCGAAACACTCTAAAGCATGTCCCAAAAGGGCGCACCGTCTGAACAGACAATTGTGTGAATAACAAATCTAACTTTACATCTTTAATGTGTTGCAATGATTCCATGTGAAAGAATAAGAAGTGGCGAATGGCGTGTATTGGTAAATGACGACTGTCATCAGTATTTATACCACAATTGCATTTAACAATTAAAAATGTTCCCTTTTTTTAAAAAAATAGCTCGTGGATGCGTGCGGGACTGAATGCCCCACTCCGCGCTAAGCAAAAAGCCCGCGTGCTCTCGCCCTAAGGCACACAAGAGCACGTGAATAATATCAGATCCATAAAAAAATTGTTTTTGGGTTAGAGCGCGTAAATATAAACTTGTTTAAGCGGCCACCACCCGACAATGCAATTAGCAAGGTTTTGTCGTGTAAACAAAACGTGCCAATTAGTTGCTATTTCAGCGCACCAGGTTGTGTGTTTGGAGAGTAAACTAACGACGATTCTAGGACCTCGTGAAGTTCGCTGGTGATGACAGCAAACAGCTCTATTAGGCGATGAGCCAGATTTGTGAAAATACGTCTTCCTTTTTCGGTCTTAAATAGAGGGAGTAAAAGTAGTAACTAAACGTGCCAATAAGTAACTAATATGAACTAATTGGAACATTTTGTTTATGTGACAAACCTGATTTGGCTGTCGTGTGGTGGCGGGTTTAATTTTTACTCGATCTAATCCAAAGAAACCTTTATTATGGACATTGGTTGCGAAAGCCTCCTATTACGCGTTAAACCGAGTAAACAACAATGCAGGAGGCCTACGGTTTTCGACCTTCCCACATTTGCAGCGTTTATGTGAAGCCACATGAATCGGTTTACAACGCATTAACTCGATTTACGACACATCTGGTTTCTGATGTGACTTAGCGTGGAGCGTTTGTTATTCTCAAGCATTCATAATAAAGGTTTTTAGGTTAGATCACTTTATTTATAAATGTGTCGTAACCCTCCACCACCCAACACGGCCAATCAGCAAAAAAGGGCCAAGTTGACAAAAGATAAATAGTGCACTACTTTAGCCCACGGGTGTGTTGAAGAGTGAATCCACAACATTTACAGTTTGAGTACGACGTTTCGCTGGTAATTACATCCAGCATCATCGGGCAATTCGCCAGAATGGTAAAGCCCTCACTTGCTCCCGGTCTTAAATAAAGCAGCGCGGTGACGTCATCATTTAACTCATTCAGAAAGTTGGATTCTCAAGTATGCTTGTGGATTTTTTTGTCACCTATTAAACCTTGATAAATGTGACTGATAAAAGGAAAACACATTGGCCAAGCAATATTTTTTTTTCTATTTCTGCTGTCTATTGGAAAATATGGTCTGATTTATGACAATCTGATTTACGACGGAGTTTCCAGGAACGCATTGTGTCTTTCAAGTGTACGGCTGTAGGGGAGCTTGCATTAGTGAAATTTAAAACTGATCCGGAAATTACATTTCTTACATGGCAGAGAAATGCCCACTCTACTGTATCATATGCCTTTTCTCCATGAAGTGTTGCTACATGCTTGTGCTGTTTGAGAAGATGTTTAAGTTCAAAGGATTGCATCGATGAGTCTTCTTTCGTAAGGATTAATAGCAGCAGATCGAAGATGTGATTGTAAATATTATCTACTCGATTTTCCGTTCAGAACCAAAGTGGATCTCGTCCGCTCCGTTTTTAAAGGAGTGAAGACAGCAGATGAGTAACCGAGAATAACATGTGATGTCCCGCCCTTTTGTATCAATGTATGTATGTTGAACTTCTTTCCCACCGTACGTAGCCAACAGTGATAATCGGATGAGCGAAATTAAGTCAGATGGGATTAAGTCACATGGTAAGGAGTTCAGTCTCTGCGAGAAAGGGCTTTAGTCCACATTTTGAAATCGGTATTCAACAGCGAGGTTTGCCTCTCGCCTCCACACTCTGTGGGATCCGTACCTCCACCTAGGATCAGCATCAATACCCCACAACCCCCCTCGCCCCTCCACACACAGAACTGGACCGTTCCAACTGAGCCTGAGTGCAAGGGGAATGATGGACGTCATAATTGTACATATTTATGATTTATGAATAAGTTCACATTTGTTGCTTTTTTCAACATGTGCATTATGATAACCATGTATATTCGCAGACCTTTTACACATTTGCGTGCAAGTTTTCCTCCCACGCACCGTTTAGGAGATCCACATCGTACCGAATGGACACTTGTGAATTATACATATAGCTGTGTTTAGACTGCCTGCTACTATAGTTGCCCCTGGCTACTGCCGTAACGATACAGTCTGGCTCAGACTTGCACTCCTACCAACCACGGCGCTCCGGCTCGCTCCTGCCCCAACACAAGACGAAGCGGTGATCTCGCCTCCAGTCGACTGGAGTAACGGCACCAGTTCTCGTGGCCAATTCGCTAGGTAACACAGATTTAGAATGATGCACAGAGCCCAGTGTGGGAAATTGAGGAGGAATAGCTTAATTTTATGTTGGTTCCTTATCCATTCACTCTTTACGAGTCATGGAGACAGAGGGAAAACAAAGAGAGAGGCAAATGATGAGAGAGAAATACAGACATAGAGAGGGCAAGAGTGGGATTAACGGAGACATAAGGACACAGATACACGGAGGGGGACGGCGAGACTTTGACTTTTAGAATTATTTTCATTGTTCAAGAGAATCAACGAAAATACATTTTCTGTAAAATGTATTAATCTTACATGTATCACATTTTACAAGACAATATTGGGTATGTAATGTATTTACGTAAATGAATTAAGCATTTGATTTTGGTTTGATCAATTATTTTTAACAATGTGAAGATTGTAATAAACTATTTAATCACTATCTACTCACTCCACATTGGAGTGATGGGTAACATATTGCTGAGTGGGGAATTGGCCCATGGTGCACGCCAATGTGCTTCCGTTTGTAAATTGATGACATCCACTCTGCTGATGTCAGCCATGCCAGTGATGGCGAGGAAACTGAACTCAGTTTTAGTTAGTTTAACACATCAGCTTTTTCTTCTTATTCTGTACTCAGCCCTCCCACAGCGCTGACACCTCAGAGTTTTGGGATCTCCTCCGGCAGCAATGAAGACCTCGCTGCTGCTGCTGCTCGTGGTGGCAGCGCTGCTGTTATCATCATCCGCCCGTTTCCCCGCTGCAGCGGGCGAATGGAAATCACCATCGGCTGACGTTGACTCCTCGTTCATTAACGGGACCCGGCTGTGCGCGACGCTCTTCGCCGACGACTGGGCCACGCAGGTCACGGCGCTGGGTGATTCTGAGAGCGTCGACCCCAGTCGCACGGTGGGGCTGCACCGCGTCTCCCACGTGGTCGTGATGAGCGGCTGCCAGCTCGAGATGACGGCCGCACGTGGGGCCGGTGGCACGGAGGAGTCGCGGCTCGTCGGGGAGGGCGTCCACAGTGCCGCGGGGTTGGAGGGGACGCGACTTCAATGCGAGTGCATGGACCACCCGGGGAGTCGCGCTCCGCGGTACAGGGCAACCTACAACGACTTTTTAATAAGACACGTCGTTGATCCAGCGTTAGCCCCGAATACAGATACAGAATGGATCGACCTTTTGTACAGCCGTCGTGGGAACAATCCACCGCGTCTCAACAC